GCAACTTAAGGCTGAATTTTTTCTTCAGTTCTTTCAGCTTGAGAAATGCCAAGCGTGTTCTTCCCTTTTGGTTTTCTAGCTCCAGCTCTCTGCATATGTCATTATAATACTTCACTTCGTCTTCTCGAGTCACCCTTTGAAATCTTCTGTTCAGTTCTTTTACTTCATCATTTCTTCCTTTTGCTTTAGCTATTTGACATTCAAGAGCAAGTTTCAGAGTTTCTTCTGACATCAGTTTTGGTCTTTTCTTTCTTTCCTGTCTTTTTAATGACCTCTTGCTTTCTTCATGTATGATGTCCTTGATGCCATTACACAACTCGCCTGGTCTTGGTCATTAGTGTTCAATGTGTCAAATCTGATCTTGAGATGGTCTCTAAATTCAGGTGGGATATACTCACGGTCATACTTGGGCTCTCAGGGACTTGTTCTAATTTTCTTCAGTTTCAACTTGAACTTGCATAGGAGCAGTTGATGGTCTGTTCCACAGTCGGCCCCTGGCCTTGTTCTGACTGATATTGAGCTTTTCCATCGTCTCTTTCCACAGATGTAGTCGATTTGATTCCTGTGTATTCTATCGGTGAGGTCCATGTGTGTAGTCGCTGTTTATGTTGGTGAGGAAAGGTATTTGCAATGAAGAAGTCATTGGTCCTGAAAATTCTATCATGTGATCTCTGGCATCATTTCTATCACCAAGGCCATATTTTCCAACTACTGATCCTTCTTTGTTTCCAACTTTCATATTCCAGTCACCAGTAATTATCAATGCATCCTGATTGCATGTTCGATCAATTTCAGACTGCAGATGCTGGTAAAAATCTTCAATTTCTTCATCTTTGGCCTTACTGGTTAGTGCATAAATTTGAATAACAGCGTATTAACTGGTCTTCCTTGTAGGCATATGGATATTATCCTATCACTGACAGCACTGTACTTCAGGATAGATCTTGAAATGTTCTCTTTGATGATGACTGCAACGCCATTCCTCTTCAAGTTGTCATTCCCAGCATTGTAGACCATATGATTGTCGCATTCAAAATGGCCAATACCAGGCCATTTCAGCTCACTAATGCCTAGGATATCGATGTTTATGCATTCTATTTCATTTTTGACAATTTCCAATTTTCCTAGATTCATGCTTTGTACATTCCATGTTCCAGAAGGTAGGCAGTTTGAATCCACTAACAGCTCCTTGGAAACCCTATGGGCAGTTCTACTCTGTCCTATAGGGTCACTATGAGTCAGAGTCGACTCAATGGCAATCACAGATAAGTACCTAAGAAATCATTATTCTATGGTAGTCCTTTAAACAGAGATGTGTTACTCCTCAAGAACAATACCAAATTTTTTATAAGCTACTAGTAGCTTCAGTGAATGCAGGATATGATGATAAGCATCCAACCATTTCCAAATTTACATATTCAGTAATAAATGAAATATGACTTTCTTGCAAAAATAGACTCTTTCTCAATGTCTCACCCTACCAAAGAAAATGTTTACCTGAATCCATCTGGAAGCATTTTAGCACTTGAATTTGATAGGTTCTTAGGGAGATAATAAAGAAATTATACTGCTCATCCCTGTGCGTCAGAAAGAGCAAGTTACAGGCGTGTTCAGAGATACGCTGTCAACACAAATCCAACTACAGGAGCTGTAGAGCAAGTACTAGATTCAGATACCCACAGGTACTATTGAATTCACAATGACAAAAACAGCAGCTAAATACTGTACCCAAGCTCTCTGGATGTGTTAAAGAGGACTCGACTCTCTGAATTCAGTACTTGACATGTTATGTCAGACTTTGAAGAGATTTCCTGATGTTCTGAAAGTAACCTAAGGGTGTCCTTTAGACAAATTACTATATTCATTCAATGTATATTTCTATTGTCACAGGGTCACTTCATATTCTTTCAGATTCTGAACTCTATGATGAGATACAGAGCATAACAGACTAGAATAGTTTCAGAAAATCTAATTCTAGACCCTTAAAAATCAAGACATTAAATAGCACATTTTTTATATTCCTTTAATGAAATGCATATAAGCAGTAAAGGGCAAAAAGGAGGGAAGCTAAGCTGAAAGATAATAAAAAATGAAAGGTCAAAGGCTAAAGTATGAACTCTATTGAAATAAGGTAATTGGAAAAGGCTAAAGGCATCGGTTCTTTTTCCACATTTCTCAACTTTTAAATTTTCTGCAATCCTTTGATTTTGTTAGTGTTCCTGAGATAGCGTGTGTATGTGGAGAAAATATGCTATACGTCAGATCTTTTAAATCAGGAAGTCACCAAGAAATCCCTAGCGTTCAGAACCCTCCAGTGTTGTACACATAGCTTTGTAATGAGTCCAACCACTGGGATTTCCACATAAGTATCTGGAATTATTGCAGTTAACAAAACAAAATATATAAATCTCTTCATCTACACGCTTTGATATAGCTTCTAAAGCCCCAAGTAACCGAAATGGCTCTATTTGCCTTAGGCAATAAAACCAAATAAAGGCAAACAAAAACCTGTAGAAAGAGTAAGTCTGAGGCCCTGTGCTGCAGAAATCCTTCAGTAAATATCCTGAGAAAACAAAACCACATCAGTAAGCAAGAGAAGTGGCTACCCTATGGTGTGATTTCAAAATTTTTACGTTTCTTCCTGTTATAGTCCTGTTTCTATTCTTCCTGTACTATAATACTAGTTCCAAAGATACTGTCGTAGTGTTTGAAATCCACTGGTGAGTCGGTTCTTTGGATTAAGCCAAAAGACCTCTGTTAAAATCATACATTCGGGAGAAAAAAGTTGGTGTTCAACCTGGCTGTGCAGACAGACTTACCTTGGGAGGACTGGTTTGTCTGTGTGCGTGACTTACTATGTGCACCCGACTCAGACACACGACTGGTGACAGGGTCAACTGGTGTGCCTTGTTTAGAGGGCAATTTGGCAAGGTCTACGAAAATTAAGACGACAAATCGATCGATCCTTTAACATACAGACGTACCCACAAAGTTACCAACAGACAGACAAACAACAAAGGCACTTTGACACTCACAGATACACTCAATCAAAACAAAACCTCCAAGTGTCCACCAGCACAGGACTGGCTACATAAATCATGATGCAATCATATAATGAGTACTAGGAAGCTGCTAAAAACACTGAGGTGAATCTCAGGTGCTGTTTTGAAAAGTATTCTAAAATATACATTGTGAGCAAATCAGAGTGCAAAACACTGTGATTTAACGTTTTTGTAAATAAAAAGATACATGAATATGTGTGTGGTGTTTATATAAGCACTCCCCCCTTCTCCCAGAAAATACATAATATTCCACTGTGGAAAGGGATTTGTGGTGGGGTGTTGGAGAGATCATTTTAGTGATGTCTAAATGTTTAGAAGAGTCCCCGGGTGGAGCAAATGGTTAAGCACTCAACTATTAACCCAAAAGGTTGTCAGCTTGAACCCACCCAAAGGTAGGAAGACAAGCTTGGCAGAATGGTCACAGTCTTGAATACCCTATGGATCAGTTCTACTCTGCACACATGCAGTTGCCATGAGTCAGAATCTCCTCAAGGCAACTTTTTTTTTTTTTTTTTTTAATGTTTAAAAAGAGATCTGTCCTAAACGGAACAATCAGAGGGGAAATATTGCAAATGTTCAAGCATTGTGAAGAATGTAACAATGTCACTGAACAATTTGTGTAGAAATTGTTGAATGCAAACCTAAACGGTGTGTAAACCTTCACCAAAAACACAATAAAACATTATTAAAAAGAGAGCGAGAAAAGAAAGAGGCCTGTCCTCCTGCTGACAGTCTGCAGGAACCAGTGATCCCGTGGCGGTTTTCTGAGCATCCCAACACACTCTGGCCCTCAGGCTGTGCCATCGGCTGGTAGCTAGTGCTGCCTTTGGGTCAGAAAGTTGGTCTCCGGACCCACATAAGAGATAGAAGGCGCCATCCAGCCCTTAAGGAGTCCCCCACAGAACACCCACCTGTCTTTAAGGCGTCTGCATAAATTCTTCCTGACTCCTCACTCCCTGGAGGAATTTGCCAGCCCTGCCTGCGTTTCAGAGCCCTGGTGGTGCAGTGATCAAGAGATCAGCTGCTAACCAAAAGGCCAACAGTTCGAATCCACTAGCTGGTCCTTGATAACCTTATGAGGCGGTTCTATTCTGTCCCATAGGGTCGCGATGAATCGGAATCGACTTGACAGCAATGGGTCTTGTTTTTCGTTGTTGCCCCCCACCTCCCACCCCCACCCCAGGCTGATTCTCAGGCCTTTCCTATCTGTGCCAGGGTCCAGCGCAGTGCCTGGCATACAGTCGGCGCTTTATAAATGCTGGCC